GAAAATAAATATTTTTAAAGTACTTAGAAGGCTCCCAGGACATAGTAAGAAGAAATATTTGTTAAGAAAGTTACACTGTGTTGGCACATGCCTTTAATCCTAGATTCCGGAGGCAGAGGCAAGCAGATCTCTGTGAGTTCAAGGACAACCTGGTCTACAGAGCAAGTTCCAGGACAGCCAGGGTTGTACAGAGAATCCCTGTCTCAAAAAACCAAACAAGAAAAGAAAGAGCTAAATGTGGGGTCAGTGGTTAAGGGCACATACCGCTCTTCCAAAGAACCCAAGTCAGTTCCCAACACCCACAGCAGGCTGCTCAAGACCACCTGTGATTCCAGCTCGGGGACGTGGACACCTCTGGCCTCTGCAGGCACCTATATATACCCACAGTAGGCATACGTACACACAATTAAAAACAATGATCTTTAAAGGAAAACTAAATGAATATAGATTTGGGGGTGACCCTTACTAGTGCTCAGGGCTTTGCTTGTAGCCTTGAGGCTGTCTTCCCACCCACTCCTGTCCACTCTTCCCCTCTGTCAGACCCTTTGACCACGTCATAGACCTCATTAGCCAAAGAGGACGCTAAACATCCATAGAGATAGAGGAAACACACCAGGTGTTTTACCCTCACCACGTTCAGACTAAAGGTGCCATTCTTCAGTATGAAGGGAAAGGGTGAGCCTGAGCCTGCTGAGATGGGTCATTGGGTCAAGTGCTTAGTGCCGAGCCTGACAACCAGAGTTCGGTCTCTGGAAACCCCTTGGGAGAAGCACCTACCCCACAAGTTATCTTCTGATCTCCATGTGAGTGCCATGCATACTTGTGCCCACAAACATAAACACAAATGTAATGTTAAATTGTTATTTAGACACTCAGTGTGTAGCCCTAGCTGGCCTGGGACTCAGATCTGCCTGTGTCTGCCTGTGCTGGGATTAAAGGCATATGCCACCACGCCTGGCTTTTATCCCAATTTAAGAATTTTTGAGCCAGGTGGTATGGTGGTATATGCCTTTAATCCCATTCCTCAGGAGGCAGAAACAGGTGGATCCCCAAGTTTATTTATAACCATGGCTACACAGAGAAACCCTGTCCTGAAAAATCCAAAGGCAAAAAATTTCTTTAATGAAAAATCTAGATAAAGATGAATTTATTCAGATAGCTTGTCATAAAGGAGAGCCTGGTCATGCTGTGCCATAAGCCTCCAGACTAGGCTAGGGTGCTAGTTCTGAGTCTTGTATGAACCGGCTCTGTGAATTAGACAAGTCATTTGTCTGGGGTTCAGTTTCCTGTCTGTAAAGTACAGATAGTAATATCTGTCATGCCTGCTTGGGGGGGGGGGGGCTTGAATGAGGTAATAGATGTCAACTTCTTCTGTCAACCTGGGCTGTCAGTATGCCCTTGGTAGACTGTACTCTCTGCTAAATATACTCTTTACTGCACTTGAAATTAAGAGGACGAAAGATAGGACCGCTTGCGTTGAAACCTCCTTCACAGCCAACTGGCCCTGAGCACTTGCTGTTCTGAGGGGTGAAGCCCCATTCTGTAGGATACTTAGCAGGGAGGTGGCAGCTAAAGACAGGTGTCTTGCCTAGCTTTGGATGAACTGTGCCTAATACCTAGATGTTGCAGGAAGTATCTCAGGTTCTGCCTCTTGGAAATTCTGAGGGCGCTTTTTGTTTTGTTGCCTTGTTTTAGACAGGGTCTCCTGCTGCTCACGCTGGTCTTGAACTGAGTGACCTTGAACTCTTGGCTCCCCTACTTCACCTTACAAGTGCTGGGATTATAAGCATGCAGAAAGGCTTTTTTTCTCTATTTTTAGGTTTTTTGTTTATTTGTTTGTTCTTTTCATGATGAGTCATGTTAATAGTCTGAAGGGGGCTGAGTGGTGGTGGCGCACACCTTTAATCCCAGCACTTGGGAGGGAGAGGCAGACGGATCTTTGTGAGTTCAAGGCCAGCCTGGTCTACAGGGTGAGATCCAGGAAAGGCTCCAAAGCTACACAGAGAAACCCTGTCTCCAAAAAAAAAAAAAAAAAGAAAGAAAATTTTAAATAAATAAGAGTTCTAAGATGTTCTGTGGGTGTTGCCCTCTCGTCTGTGGCTGCTCTGTCCCCGTGATTGGTGTTGACAGTAGGTCATGGCTGCAGTGACCCATAACAACTTGTCTTCTCTTTCAGCATGCCTTTCATTTCCACTGCATCTCCCGATGGCTCAAAACGAGGCAGGTGTGTCCGTTGGACAACAGAGAGTGGGAATTCCAAAAGTAGGTGTTTCACCTTGTTTGGGGTTCTAAGTCTGGGTCCTCTGGTTAATGTCATTCTCCTGCTGGGCTCAAGCTGACAGCAGCTGGAGTGGTGGAGCGTGCCCTTTTTCCTTGTTGTTTTTTAGACAGGGTCTTTCTCAGTAGCCCTGGCTGCCCTAGAACAGGCCGGCCTCAAACTCAGAGATCCACCTGCTGTCTCCTGAGTGGTAGGATTAAAGGGTGTACCACCATGCCTTATTTTTAAGCTGGACTTTGAGAAAATAAACAGGGATTAGCCAGCATTTTACAGGAATTTTTTTCAATCTGCTTGGTCTGTCAAAGTGAAAAATATGGGAGTCAGAAACGATGGTCAAGTATTCCCAGGGCTAGGTGGTGAAGCTCGGTGGTAGAATACTTGCCTAGCATGTGCAAGGTCCTGTATTCAATCCCTGCTACCACCGAAATGAGTTAGTAAATCTCTATAACCCAACCTGATAGTTCCATTATGCAAAATTTCATTGTCCGACTGTTGCCTTTCTGTGGGTGTGGAGGGTTGGTCTGGTGGTGCTTGGGGTCTCTTGGTGTAGCCCTGCCTCTACCTCCCCAGAGCAGGATCTTAGATGTGCCCGTGGAAACCTGCTCCTGTTGTTTGGGGCTGTTTGTTTTCCTTCAGATAGCATCTCATTCTGTAATTCAGGCTGGCCTCCTTAGGACTCTCCCGCCTCAGCCTTCCAAGTCCCTTTGGCTTAGCTCAGCTGATTGATTCTGATATCAAATTACAGGTAATTGATCACATTTATTATTAAAGCTAAGCCTGGTGTAATAGCGAATGCCTTCCTTTGATCTCAAATTTGAGTTCAAGGCCAGCCTGGTCTACAGAGTGAGTTCCAGCACAGATAGGACTACACAGAGAAACCTTTTCTGGAAAAACAAACAAACAAAAGAATGTGTTTAATGGTTTTCGGGTCTTCCTCTCCATCACCCTCATGAGGTTGTTTGTTTTGTCTTTCAGGTATGGGCACTAGAAAAGACTCTCCCTAAAGTTTACCTGTTTGTTACTCGTGTGGTGACTTGCCTTCCTGTTAATTATAAATTAGATAGAGCCGTGGTTTTTTTTTCTTTCCTTTGTCTTGGGAGTTTGCTGTTTCCACAGCCATATTGTATGTTGTGTCAAATAAAGTTAAGTTCCAGAATGGTTGCTGTCTTTGTATGTGGAAAGAGTGACCTGAGAAGGGGCATCTTCAATGCCAGAAACAACCTCCAAGAGTGCACTGTTCCTCACCAGAACAGAGCTGTCCTACCGGGCATCACAGGGGCACACCCAAGGAGCCTGTTTAAAGTCTGGAAGTGTGGGTCACTTGTCTTCCTTCTGAGATAGCACTGGGCAGCTGAATGAGGAAGTGACAGCCTTGGACCAGCCAGGTCTGCTCTGGGCCTTCATCTCTCACGAGGGAGCCTAAGAATGAGTAATTGGGCTTTGTAAGCTCTAAAACACTGCAGTTCTAATTTGTGTGCCTGTGGGTATCGTTCAATAGTAGGGTGTTTGCCCAAAGCCCTGGGTTCAATTGTGGGCCTAAATAAGTTAAAAAAAAAAAGTTCAGCTTGAATTAACAAGAGCTCAAACATGCTGGCCATGGGAGGAGTTGCCAGCCTGATGCTAAGTCAATGGCTGCAGTCTCTACTGAGAAACCGTTTTGTTGCTGTGGTTCTTGTGTGGCTAATTGTTCTGCAGGGGTTGTGAAATCCTGGGCAGTTTTCCTTCCTACATTGCAGTTCCCGGTGAAAGCATTCTTCATTTACTTCAGTCAAAGCTCAGATGAGGCAGATTTGAGACTCCAACTCTTGTCAGAAAAAGATTGCAAAAATGTGTGGAACAATGCTGTCTCATTTGTTTTCCAAGTTAATTTCAATAAAAATATTTATGTTAATATATGATGCATCTGTTTTTTTATGTCATTTTCAAGATTATATTCTGCCTTTTTTTCTTTTTTCTTTTGGTTTTTCGAGACAGGGTTTCTCTGTGTAGCTTTGCGCCTTTCCTAGATCTCACTCTGTAGCCCAGGCTGACCTTGAACTCACAGAGATCAGCCTGGCTCTGCCTCCCAAGTGCTGGGATTAATGTCATTTGCCACCCCACCCAGCTTACTTTTCTGCCTTTTTAGAAAATACTTTTCTTTTTATGGGTGGCAGTGTGGATGCTCATGAGTGCATGTAGAGGTTGCCACTGGGTGTCCTCTATCATTGTCCACGGTTTCCACCCAAGGTCTCCCACTCACCAGGGAGCTTGCTGATTGCTTAGACTGCCTGGGATCCTCCTGCTTCTGCCACCTAGCTCTCACCTGACTACCTGGGTGCTGGAGGTTAAACTCAGGTTTGCCGGGCAGTCACTTTACTGACAGCCATCTCTGCAACCTGTACTTTCTCAGTTTGGTACTCATTATGGTGTGTAAAAGTGTAGCATTCTGTCCCCTGAGCAGTGGCCACCATTTCCCTCAGATCATCAGTGCCTACCAGCAAGAGGCCTGTTTACATTCCCTCAGAGAAGCAGGTGGGAAGGGGCCGATGAGATTCCAGCCACGCCTTCCAGACATTAATGCAACTGCTCTAATTGCTAGTGAGTGGCCTGGGGATCTCTGGAGCTTCTGTACCAGATGCTTAAAGCTGGAAGCAGGTGTCCTTGCTGGGAAGAACTTCAGTCTGACTGCTTTGGGGTCACCCGCACTTCGGTCTGTCAGTAACTCTGTATCCTCTAAGTAAGCCCAGTAAACTCCCCAGAGTGAACTTGGGTGGGATTGGACTTTGATTTGTCATTAGACCCTGTGAGTGTAGAGTGGATATTTGTCTCCCCAGGAAGGAATTCTCCCAACACAGATAACCCAAATAAAAATTTGGGGCCGGGCATTGGTGATGCACGCCTTTAATCCCAGCACTCGAGAGGCAGAGCCAGGCGGATCTCTGTGAGTTTGAGGCCAGCCTGGGCTACCAAGTGAGTTCTAGGAAAGGCGCAAAGCTACACAGCGAAATCCTGTCTCGGAAAAAAAAAAAAAAATTGGGGTCCTCAATTTTTAGAATCTTGCTGTTTTGATTGGTTGGATTTGTTGTTACTTTTAGACAGAATCTCACTATGTAGCCCCATCAGGCCTGGAACATAAAATGTAGACCAAACAGATCTCAAACTTACACATATTTTAAATTTTATTGTTTTTATTTTTAGGATCACAAAATGGATGATGGAGACTAGAAATTATGCAAACCCCTAGTAATAAAGAACTTTAAAGTGTGACCTAGATTAAACCCATTTCCACTTAACTGCCACTGAGTGTGAGGAACAGCGCAGACTCACGTGGAGGGGCCATAATTATTGCAGTTACACCGCCACCTTCACCCCTTCACCTCCTTGACCTCTCCCCAGCGGAAGTTCAAGCTGCGTAAATAATTTCATGAGTGAACATGTTTGCTCTTCACCCAGGTGACACATTTAGAGCATATTCCTGTCTAAAAAACAACTGGGCTAGAGAGATGCCCAAACAAATGGAATTAAAAAGAAATGGTTTTTTTTGTTTTTTCAAGACAGGCTCTGTGTGTAGCTCTACACCTTTCCTGGAACTCACTCTGTAGCCCAGCTGGCCTTGAACTCACAAAGATCCTCCTGGCTCTGCCTCCCGAGTAAAAAAAAAAATTTAAAGCCCAGCATTTGGGATTGGAGTCAAGAGAATTATAAGTTCAAGGTCATTTTTGACTACATGGTTATGGCTAGCCTGAGCTACAAGAGGCTCTGTCTCAAATTTCTAAACATCTACATTTCTGTCCCGTTTCAGAGGATTGTTTATTTTGCCAACCAGGTAGAAGTAGAGCTGAATTAAAGTCCAGTAGGGATATTGCAAAGAGGATGGATAGATGAGAACCTGAATGTACTGATGCTGCAGAGATACACAAGGCCGGGGTCCCGACTTGTTCTCCAGGTCCCCAGCCTTCCCTGCCTCCTGACAGTGGTACCTGAAGACTCTTCCTCCAGTTGCCTTCTATCATGAGGGCAGACATTCATGTTCATTTCCTTACTTGGCCTGGGAGACCCCATCTTTCCCCATAGTCATAGCAGAGTCCTGGATCACATGGGCCTCTGCCCAGATCTCAGTAAGTGTCACATATGCTGCCCTGGAACTCACAATATAGTCCAGGCTGATTTCAGACTCACAGGAGTTCTGCCTCCACCTCTCAAATGCTGGGATTATAGGCACAATCCAACACTGTTGGCTCCTGGACCTTTGGGTCACCTAAACTACACATGGGCTGGACAAGCACTCTGCCACTGAGTTTATAATCCTACCCTTACCTCATCCCCCGCTTTTTTACTGAGACAGGTCTCAGATTACCCTTGAGTTTGCCAAGGTAGGCCTTGAACTTGGGACCCTCTTGCTTCAGCCTCCATGAATGCTGGGATTATGTATCCAATGCCATCATACCCAGCTCCTCCAACCCTTTGTTTTAACATTCTGGAGGCAGAGGCAGGTGGATCTCTGAAGTCAAGGCCAGCCTAGTCTACTTGATATCTCTGTCTCAAAAAAAAAAAAAAAACAACAACAAATGAACAAAAACAATGTTTTTGTTGGCTGGGTAGTTAAAAGTAAAGATCCATCCAGAGGACCCAGGTTTGATTCCCAACACCCACATGATGGCTCACAGCCATCACTATCTCCAGTTCCAGGAGATAAGAAGCCCTTTTCTGGCTTCCAGGGACACATGTGGTGCACATAAATATTGCAAGCCAATACACATACAAAATAAAATTGAAAAGAAAAAAAAAACATTCAACACTGAACAAAACCAAAAAGAACTGGTTATATACCCAGCACTCTGGAGCTTGAGGCTGGAGCACCAGGAATTGAAGATTTCATTTGCATCATAGTAAATCTGAGGGAAATTATGCTGCATGAGTCTTGTCCTAAAGGAAAGAAAAGAAAGGAGGAAAGGAAAGGAAAAGAGAGAGAAAGGAAAGAGAGAGAGAGGAAGAAAAAGAAAAGAAAAATCAGGCCTACAAGATGGCTGAGCACAGGTTAAGGGCACCTGCCACCACCCAGCTTGACAACCTGAGCTGGAGATCTGCTAGTTGTCCTTTGACCTCCACATGTGTGCCATGGCATGGGCACATTGCTCGCCTCAATAAAAATGTAATAAAAAAAATTTAATTTTAAAAAGAAAAATAATTACCAGTGAGGGACTGAGGTCAAGTGACCTACCTAGGGTCATACACTCCCATGGTGGGCCTGGACTTTAGACCCAGGTTTATCTACTTCCAGGAGTGCCCGTTTTCACCAGCTGTGAGAGCTGGAGAGACTCACAGGGGATAGCTGAGGAAAAGCCCTATGCAAACAGTTACAGGCTGTACAAATGCCAGGCCTCCTTATTAATCAAGAGCTTGGCCATTCCTCCACCCCCCAGCTTAATAAAGAGCCTTATTCTTGTTGACTTGGACACTCAACTCTGACCTCCCACATATTGAGAACCGGGGTTCTAAAAACAGAGCAGAGAAATGAACGGAAAGCGATGGCAGGCGTCCTCCTCACGCCTTCCCTGGAAAGGTTCTCCCGTCTAGGGATGGAAAGGGAATGTCAGCTACAGTCTAACTAAAGTCAACTCTGGGTTGGAGATGATGTCACTCCAGGGTGTAAGGGTGAGGCGAGGTGAGGCAGCACACCAAAGTCAGGCTTGGTGGCATCTGTGTGACTGACTATACACAAGCACGCCAGCTTCAGTCAGGAGACACTGATTCAAATTCTGCAGCCTGTGGCACACCCCTATAATCCCAGCACTTGGGAGGTGGAGGCAGGAGGATTGCAGTTCAGGGTCACCCTCACCCTTAGCTACATAGTAATTTGATACAAATTGGGCTCCAGGAGACCCCATCTCCAAAAAGTAAACACTGGACAGTAGTTGACTGAGCTGGGTTTTTTTTTTTCCACTTTTTTTTTTTTTTAAATTAATTTTTCGCCTGCGGTGGTGGCGCACACCTTTAATCCCACCACTCGGGAGGCAGAGCCAAGCGGATCTCTGTGAGCTCCAGGCCAGCCTGGGCTACCAAGTGAGTGTTTTATTTTATTTATTTATTTATTTTGGAACTCACAGAAATCTGCCTGGCTCTGCCTCCCGAGTGCTGGGATTAAAGGCGTGCGCCATCACCGCCCGGCTTGCCTCCCTGGTTCTATGGGTTGCAGTCTGATTGTTCTTTGCTTTATATCTAGAATCCACTTATTTTTTTTTAAAGATTTATTTAATATGTATACAGTGTTCTGTCTGCACACAGGCCAGAAAAGGGCACCAGATCTCGTTACAGATGGTTGTGAGCCACCATGTGGTTTCCTGGGAATTGAACTCAGGACCTCTGGAAGAACAGTCAGTGCTCTTAACCTCTGAGCCATCTCTCCAGCCCTAGAATCCACTTATGAGTGAGTTCATATCATGTTTGTCCTTCTGGGTTTGGGTTACCTCACTCAGGATGATTTTTTTCTAGTTCCATCCATTTGCCTGCAAATTTCATGCTGTCATTGTTTTTCTCTGCTGAGTATTACTCCATTCTGTATATGTA